TGGGTATGGCCAACTCAATATCACTCACATCGAGGCATGCATCTCCTCGCCTGGCCTCTCATGACTGTGGGGATGCTGCAACAGTCATAAATGTGAAAAATGGTCATGTCACTTTTTTCAGTGCCATTGTAACTTTGAATGGTCACTCCACACAAGCAAAGGAGAGAAAAAAAACTCCAGAGATGTTCCAGAGACAGGAAGTCTAGTCCTGCCAAGAATGTAATAAGGGTTAATTAACGGAGAGACAGTTTCTATAAGCAACTTCCTTCCTTACAGGATTAGGCCAGTGACTTCTTCTCACAATTGGTTCTCCAAACTGCTTAGAATGTTAACAACTGGTTCTAGTGAATAAGTGCAAACTGGTAGAATCCCACCCGTTTGTGAGATTATGGATAGAAAGCCAATTTGTTGTATTGGTGAAGGCATCAGGCCAGAAACCTGGATGACTTTGGGCTACTTATACACTTTCAGCTCTAGAAGGCAAAAAGATATATATTGTAAGTATATATATTGTAAGTACCCACAAAAGTACCCGCGAAAACTTGTAAGTACCCATGAAAAGTTAAGAAAACACACACACACACACACACACACACACACACACATTCTTAAGTTTTCGCGGGTACTTACATGTATGGTATTCAGCTTTGTTCGGGTATTTTCCCACGTCATTATAGTTGTGCTTTTAAAGTTGTAGCAACGTTTCGGCAGAATCTCATCTGCCATCATCAGGCTTCTGTATTGTGTTCGTCTATACGATACCATTGCTGTGGTATCCTTGGTCTTGTGCTGTGGTATCCTGGGTCATTTGCTGTGTTGCAACTTCTTGAGTTCTTGTGGTGTAATTTCCTGAGTTTTCTGATGTGATGTCCTGAGCGGGTGGCTGTGATGTAGCATTCTGGGTTTTAGTCGGGCTTCGAGTTTGGGGTCTGGGTCTGTGTTCTTGGCGTGTGTCAGCTTGTTTGGTTTTGGGGTCGGGGGGTGCGACAGCTGGTGAAGCAACCATGGTCTATTTTCTGGATGGTGATTGTCCTTCGTTTATAGGATGGGCTTGAGCTTGGGTCTGATGAGGGGGATTGGCGGTGGTGTCCCGTGTTGTTTTGGGTCTGGTGTTGGTTTTCCTGGCTGGGAGTCGTTTGAGCAGGGGGTTGGACTAGAAGACCTCCAAGGTCCCTTCTACTTGAGACACCTTAAAAGCATTAAGGACTTACTGGTACTGAAGAAAGACCAGACTAGGCTACTTCTTATAGCCTCAACATTTGCTTGGTACTCCCTTTGCTCCTTTGTAAGTTACAATTTCAGAAAATCAAAAGTTGGAAGGGAATTCCGATCACTACTTTTCCTGCTCTATTTTTCATTTATTAGTCAGGATAATCTGCTAGTTCACTGCTAAAGGATGCTTTATAGTTCCTTGTCATTAATCATTTTTCTCATGACACTTATTGTTACGTATGTTGAATTAACAAATTTAATATTGTTAAATTTATAATGTAAAAAGCTGGTTAGCATTTTATACTTGATTTTTTTTCTCATTTTGATGAATTTGACTGAAGGAAGGAAGAGGGGAAAAAAAATACCTGTTTTCAATTTTTATTGGACACTTGCATACCTAGGCAAATTCATAGAGAGGTGCAAATGAGGAAATGTGGTAATTAGAAAATAATTATAATAACATAAAGGGACAGGTACAAAAGACAGTCAGTTCTCATATATAACAAGCTGGGATTTTAGAACTGTAATATGTGTGGGTTTTTCTCCTATCTTCAGAAAGAAGCGAGAAACATAACATGTTAATTGCAGTATGCCGTAGCTTTGAAATAACTCCCTTAGAAGTTACCATGGTCCCTATTTGGTAACAAAGTATGTGCATGTGTTTGTGCATAACTTTGTGTATCTACATTACAAGCACAGACATCCCTTTTTAAAACATTCAGTTATTCTTTTACTTTGACAATATTAACACGAATATATTTAGAAGACATGAATTTGGCCATAGATATTATGATGCATCTTTTCAAGGAAAGAAAAATGAATGCGACTTTTTGTAACTATATCCCAAAGGTGCTTCCCCAACCCCCCTCCAAGAGGCAACTGGGCTTTCGTTGTTGTTTTTTTTCTTTCAAGACATTTCACTTCTCATCCAAGAAGCTTCTTCAGCTCTGATTAAAGAGCTGAAGAAGCTTCTTGGACAAGAAGTGAAACATCTTCAAAGAATAAAAACCAGAAAGTCCAGTTGCCTCTTGAAAAAAGAAAAAAAGCACCTTTGGGATAACCATGACCTGGATGACTGAGAATCCTCATAGACATTTTTTTTAACGATAGGTAGGGAACTTCTACCACGGTAGCTTTAGCATTCTTTCTTAGAGAAGAGGTGTTTGACTCTCTTTTTTCAGACTTATCTCATATTGTTAGATGTCTCTGTTCCTGAAATCTGGTTATATATATATATATATATATTTATTTGATTTGCCAATTGTTTACAAGATAATAAGTATAAGTGTATACATAGTTGTGAATACATGAAATGGGTACATATAAGAAAAATAAAAGAGGAATAAGAGAAACAATAGGACAGGGACGGTAGGCACGTTGGTGCGCTTATGCACGCCCCCTACAGACCTCTTAGGAAAGGGTCAATAGTAGACAGTCTAAGGTTAAAGTTTTTGGGGTTTGGGGAAGAAACTACAGAGTCGGGTAGAGTATTCCAGACATTGACCACTCTATTGCTGAAGTCGTATTTCCTGCAATCAAGTTTGGTGCGGTTAACTTTGAGGTTGTATCTATTGTGTGCTCTTGTGTTGTTATGGTTGAAACTGAAGTATTCATTGACAGGTAGGACATTGCAATGTATGATTTTATATACCATGCTTAAATCAGACCGAAGACGGCGTAATTCAAGGTTTTCTAGTTCTAGAATTTCAAGTCTGGTGGCATAAGGTATTCTACAACAAGTAGAGGAGTGGAGAACTCTTCTTGTGAAATATTTCTGGACTTTCTCAATTGTGCTAATATCAGATACGTAATGAGGGTTCCAGACTGATGAACTGTATTCGAGTATTGGTCTAGCAAATGTTTTGTATGCTCTGGTTAGTAGTGTGATATTACCAGAGAAAAAGCTACGTAGGATTAGGTTAACAACTCTTAATGCCTTTTTGGCTATGTAGTTTCCAGTTGTATATTTGTCCAGTGATGAGAGCATAACTTGCTTTAGAACTTTTTTCCAAGAGTTAAACTTGGATCTCAGGACAGATATTATGGTGGTGGAGCCAGGGTTATGCCAGGGTGTTATGAATTTAGAAAGATGTCAGGTTCCTTGGATGTGTTGGATTTGTTCCAAAGGGAACCAGGTAGCATCTATTTGGAATGCAAGTAATCCTCAACTTCTGACCAATCACTTAATAACTGGTCTAAGTTATGGGGGTCCCCCCCCCAAAAGGAATTTGCGGACCAGATTCAAAGTTCTGTTGGCTGGATCCCCATGCAGTCACCGGATTGCATTTTGGGAACTTGGCAACTGACCTACAATTACAGATGTTTTCAGCATCCCACAACCATTGTTCTGACCCAGCTCCCCAAACACGACAAACCTTCTGACGTGAACTCAAAAGATTCCTTTATTAGGAATGCCGGCAGCCCTGGTAAAAAGTTTCTCTCACAGGCCAACGTGAATCTGGCTAGAAGATTAATAGTTGTCTGCCACACCTATTTATCTCTTCCCCCTGCCTTTTCTCCCCAGAGCTAGGGTGGGGCCTTGCTAGCAGAGGTGACTCTTCCTTCCCCAGGTTCAGCCCATGGATTTCTACTGCTCTCCCTTTCTCTGCCTTCTGGGCATCAGGCACTAGACCCAGCTGTTCCTCTTCCTCTTCATCAGCCACCTCCAGACCTGGAGGCTCTTGACTCTCCATCTGAGGGTTGACAGATGGCCCAGTCTGTGCCTGTCTCTCTCTCTCTGCCAGCTCCATTCTCTCTTCCCCCTCAGAGCTCTCAGTTTGATTCTGGCCCTAACTCCCACTCCTCCTCCTCCTGCTCCTCCTCCTCTTATTCAGCTGCTGGAGGGGCAGGGGCCCTGTGACTACAATTCATTGTATTTTTTGGCTGGAAACCAACATTTACTTCCACATTCTGGGGGGGGGGGGGAACTGCAGACAATGGCCTTGCTTAACAATCACAGCATTTGGACAAAAATCACCAGGAAAAAAAAAGGGGGCCATAACATTCTGGAAGTCATTTGACAATATGCTTTATGACTCGCACAACTTATGACCATCATTCTGGGCTCAATTACTGTTATAAGTTGTGGGCTGCTTGTAATTTAAATTGGATGCCTGTTTTGAGATAAAATGCTGGGATCCAAATTACATAACAGAATGCTAAGAACAACTTGGAGAAAAGTCCAATGGTTTGGAATGAATGTTTTGATAAGTATATTGGCATATTAGAGTTATTCACGAATATGGTGTTATAAGGCTAGGACAATGTTTCCTTTTTTACTGTTTCCATCCATCTGAGATAGATAAATTCTTTGTTCAGTAAAAATGTACCTGACATTTTTTTTCTTTTAAAGTTGAATCCTCTTAATAATCTTTATATTTGCAGGGAAATATCAGACATTGGTGTTCATTGCTGTTTTTTTTTTTAATTTATATTTATATTTCATAGTTTTAAATTGCACCTCTCCTTCAAAGAGGGGCTCTTGATCAATAAAAATTGTCTCAAAATTAACATTAAAATTTAAAAAAATAAATTAGAGTTAACATTTTTTAAATATGGAATGACAATTAAACATCAAAAAAGAGGGGGGGATATGATGGCCATTTAAGAAAGTATTACAGGTAGAGGCAGGGGTTTTAATTTTAATGCAGAAGTGATGAAAATACACCCAGTTGTGTAGCTGCGGAGCTTAACAGGAACATTTTGCGTGCCCTAAGCAACCTTGTTGAAAAGAGATGTTTTTTTCTCTAATATTTTTTTCCTTCCCTTTTCTGTTTCCTTTACTCCAGGCTACCTACCTAAACAAAATGGTGAGCCAAACTCTCAACACAAAGGACAAAAGATCAGTACATACAGCCACAGAGGACCATTTTAGGTATTCATCAGGCAGCCAAGCCACTTCCTGTGAAAACAAAAACTGCCAGTTGTCAAGCGTCTGTCTCGGCAATCTCCTGAAGGAAAAAGAAATAGTGGAAGTTATCAAGCATACACGAGATTCTTATGAAGCCCCTTCTTTTGAGGTGAACCACAACGGCTTAGCAGGAGTCATGCAAAGCATGTCAAAATCAACTGCCAAGGCGGATAATGGCACCATTTTTCCGGGCCCTCCGAAAGATCAACCTTCCCTCAGTCGACAACCGTCTACCTTCATAGGAAGGCTTGGACAACCCCCAAGAGGACCAATCTCTTTGCACATGTACAGCAGGAAAAACGTGTTCCTTCACCACAATCTTCACACCTCTGAACTTCAGACTTTAGGCCAGCAAGATGGGTAAAGAGAGTCAGCACATATTTATTCAGGTGGACCATTTAACTGACTTCGATTCTTCTCAGCTGCTGCTACCTATTTGTTTTACCTTTTATAATGATTGTTTCTTAAATCGGAGCTGTTCCTGTAAAATAAAGACAAGGATTGGGTGGGGGGGTGGAGGATAGGGGAGCTAGCATGTTAACTTTAATGAGTAATTGAAATGGTGTTTTTTTTTCCAGAATTCACCAGACTGTAAATTCCAAATTTTGGTGAAGTTGATGATATAACTGCCTTGGCTTCCTATTGAATGGATGGGACATCCAGAAGAGGCCCAACATTCTATTATTATTTTTTTCCTTTTGCTGTCCATCACTTGATTGCCTACAATTTCTGAAGAATATATCAAATAGGACTTCTGTTTCTTTTAATAATGTTAATGTAGATGTAAATGTGAGGAACGAGTAGAATTAGTAACAACTCCTAAATTGGGGTAAGAAGACGATTGTAGTCTTTCCATCAGGAGTTGTTTGCCCTTTCCATTTCAGTCTCATTTGCACCAAGACCAGAAGAAGACAAAAATCTAGGTTCTGTATAAATCATGCAAAATTTAATTTGAAATGCTGATTCAAACTGAAAAATCAATCAAATTATCTTTGGACATTCGCATGGATTCAGCAAACTGGGTCAGTTCAAATTGATTAGGAAAAAAACAACACAGATTTTGCACATGAGCCGAAGTGTTTAAATTTTCCAAACTGATTTTAGGGACACACAAGTAATTTTTTAAAAAAAATCTGAAAACACATTTTAATTTGATTTAGAATTACCTTCAAATTAAATTTCCAAATATTTTCAGACAGTTTTCTTTTTCTTATTTTGGCTCCAAAAGTAGTATTAAGTAGTATGAAAATCACTTCAGGTTTGCTTTAGCTTTCAAGGCTCAGTATCAATAATCATTTTGCTTCTGCTCTTTATCATCTGGGTATATGCTTGGGCTGTGGAAGATTTTATACTGCATTGTTGGTGACATAAGATTAAAAGTGCCCTAACGTTGATGGATTCCAACATCAATCAGTTTAATTATCATGGATAGGGTTAATAACAGCTGACTTCCCACATACTCATGTGCAGAAATGCAAATCACTACAACTTTATTTGCAATTCATAGCCAAATTGTTGCAAGTCAGAATATTTTGTCAGGACTTGCATATCACCACATTAAATAACCACATTAGTTAAGGCATCAAATCAGCCAATTAATTATAAATGAATAATAGTCTATGTGTTGTTGATTTTGTTACCTTTAATATCAAAATGAGCCAAGGTGGATAATGTGCAATAAAGAATTGAAAGCGTTGTTGAACAGTATTTTGTGCACCCTAATTGTGCAAAATTTATCTGAATCTGCCCCTTACATTTACAGAAACCATTCTGTAATTCCCATCTTCATTTTGAGGTGGGAAAATTGTTACAGGTAAAATTGAAATTCACAGGCATAAATACTTACATAGCTATAGGAATCCAGTGACAAGGGCTTCAATTGTTTGTGTCTTCTCACAATTGATGTTTGTATCTTTTCACAAATGATGTTCGTATCTTTCACTTATTTAGCTTTGTAAAATCCACTTATCATTCGGGAAGGACAATTGAATGCTAGTTAGTTTCCCTTCTTTATCTGGTTGGCGTGTTTATATTTGCCCACACTAACTGTTGCATATTGTGACTTTTAATAATGTAATACAAGGTCAAATTAGAAGAATTTCCTAATTTATAACATACCATAAATTCAAAGCAAAATTCAGAAGACCACTTAATTCAATATATATCCTCCCCCCCCATCAACTTGATAAGAGACATAGTAAGAAATTTTGAAACTTCTGTTTATGAGTTCAATTATTCTGTGATTCGGAATAATTGAAACAAATTAGAAACCCCACTTTATAAAATACATTTTCCTTCACATTTTGCCTATGATTTAGACATGGTGCAATTCTGTGGATGTTTACTGTAAAACTAAGCCCTAGTGTATTAAATGGCATATGCACCTTTATGTCTGGTTAAGATTATAACTTGAGATGGCAATAGCAAATGAACACAATATCAAGCTATATGTCATATAGTACCACCAGTGTTTGATTTTCAGAGAAAAGAAATACAAAATGGATATTAGTATATTGGTATCGTTCTTGGAACAGCAATGTGTTGAGAGGCTTATCCCTCCC